AGGTCCTCCTAATTGCAGGGCCGGTGCTCTATCCACTGCACCACCTAGCTGCCTCCAATATTTTTTCAAATGAGAAAAGCTCCTTTTATGAAACATATAATCTAGTTACCTCAATCAGGGAAAGATGAAGCAGAGAAAGAAAAGTATAGACCAGTATCTCTAATGAGGAGCTGTTAGGTGACAGAGCACTGGACCTGGAGTCAAGAAGACCTTAGTTCAAATCTAACCTCAGTCACTTATTGTCTATATGACCCTGGGCAAGTCAAGTAACCTTCTGCCTCAAGTTTCTCAACTACATAATAGGGATTATAGTATCAGCTACCTCCCAGTCTTGTAAGGATAAAATGAGTTAATGTTTGTAAAGCACTTTGCAAACTTTAAAATCCTAATGCTAAATATTATTAGTTAATAAACATTGATGCAAAAATATTTAACAAAATATTGGCAAAGATATCACAATAGAATATTAAATGAGTATACACAATGACATGGATGGGTTTTCCAGGAATGTGGATATGATTCAATATAATGGACCACATAAATAACAAAAGTCTTTAAAACCACATAATTACATCAATAAATGCAGAAAAAGCTTTCAACAAAATAATACCCATTCATATTTTTAAAATATAAAAAATTTAGTAATTGATGACTCATTATAATTTATCTACCTAAAAACCAACAGCTAGTCTTTTCTGTAATGGAGAAATGCTAGACGTCTTTCTAATAAGAACAGAGTAAAGAAATAATGTCCTTTGTAATGACCTTTGTAATATTTTACAGAGTTCTAGAAAAGCTAGCCATAACAAAAGACAAAAAGAAATTGAGGAATAAGCATAGGCAAAGAGGAAAGAAAATTATTCACTTTTTGCAAATGACATCATAGTTTACTTAGCCCTATAGATTCAACTACAAAATTAATTCAAATAAAAACCATTAAAGTAGCAAAATATAAAATAATCCCATAAAAGTATCAGCCTTTTTCTATATTACCAACAAAACCTAGAAGAAAGAAATATAAAAGGAAATTCTATTCAAAGTTTCTGTAGACTGTATAAATTATCTGGGTATGAGTCTAGCTAGCAAGACACACACAGGAATTACATGAATACAACTACAAAATATTCGTTACCAAAATTAACAATCAACCTAGATAAGTGAAGATATAGTAACCACTCATGTTTGCGCTATGACAATTTAACAATATTACTTAACACAATTCACAGAATCAGTGACATGATAATCAAGCTACTAAAATATTAATTTAAAGAACTAGGGATAGTAATAACATTCATCTGGAATATCAAAAGGTCAAGAATCACAAGAAAAATATTCATTTTTAAAAGTGTAAAAGAAAGGGGCCTGGCAGTGGCAGATCTTAAACTGCACTAGAAAGCAATAATTTACCAAAACTATTTGGTACTGATTAAAAAATAGAAAAGTTGATCAGTGGGACAAATATAGGCATATAAGAACCAGAAACAGTCAGTACTAGTATATTGTTCAGTAAACCCAAGTACATCAACTCCTGGGGTAAGGGTTCACTGTTTGACTGGGAAAGATGGAAATAAGCCTGATAAAAATAAAATTTAGTCCAACACTCACAACATATGCCACAATAAGCTACAAATGGTTATAAAATTTAGATATAAAAAAGCATATAAACAAATTAGAGGACCAAAGAAAGAGACGCTTTTTACAATTCTGCATAGGGAAAGAATTCTTACCCAAATGAGAACTAGAGAGGATAATAAGAGATAAAATAAACAATTTTGATTACACAAAATTGAAGTTTTTGAGCAAATGAAGTCAATGAAGTTAGAAGTAGAATAGAAATGGTTAACTAGGGAAAATTTTTGTAGCAAATTTCTCTAATAAAGGCCTAATATCCAAGATATTTAGGGAATTGATACAAACATATGAGAACAAGAGCCATTCCCCAATAGATAAATGGTCAGAGGATATGAAATGGCAGTTCTTAAAAGAAAAAATAATACTAGCTATCAACAACCATATATTTTAAAAGGCTGCAAAACACTAATTAAAAAAATGCTAATTTAATCCATTAAAAGTATTTCTCATACCTGTGAGATTGGCAAAGATAATAAAAAGAAAAATATCAGTTGTTGGAGGAGCTGTCAGAGGACAAGCACACTAATGTACTGTTGGTAGTACTGGAAATTTGTCCAACCACTTAGTACAATAATTTGAAACTATATCCAAAAAATAATTAAACTGTTTATATCTTTTGACTCAGCAATACTTTTTTCCATTTAATAGTATTTTATTTTTTCCAGTTACATGTAAAGATAGTTTTCAATATTCACTTTTATAAGATTTTGAGTTCCAAATTTTTTTCTTCCTTCCCTCCACCCTCCTCAAGATGGCAAGCAATTTGATATAGGCTATTCATATACATTCATATTAAACATATTTCCATATTGATTATTCTGTGGAAGAAGAATCAGAACAAAGGGGAAAAACCACAAGAAAGGGAAAAAAAGAGAGAGAAAATAGTGTACTTCGATCTGCATTTAGACTCCATAGTTCTCAGTAATATTTCTACTAGGCTTTATCCCAAAGTGATCAGGTAAAGAAGAAAAGAAAGCATATTTATGAAGACATGTATAGCAGGACTTTTTGTTTTATCAAACAGCTGAAAACAAAGTAGGCATTCATCCACTGAGGAATGACTGAACAAGTTACAGTATATGAATGTAATGAAATATGACTGTTCTGTAAGAAATATTGAAAGGGATAAATACAGAAAAACCTGAAAGTATTTACATGAATGGGTGCAGAAGAAAGTGAACATAAGTAGTAAAACAATTTCTATAATACTTACAATAATGTAAAGAAAAACAATTTTGAAAGACTTAAGAGCTATGACCACTGGAGAGACTGTATAATCCACAATATATCTAGTCATTAGCCAGGAGATACATAGATGGCAAATAGATGTGGATAGATGATCACCCAAAGAAGGAAGCTGTTTTGAAGAGCCCGACTGAGTGGCTCACTCAGACGAGGGCAGAATGAGTATTCTGCAAAAGGAGATAAGCCTTCCTGTACCAGGCAGTAGAAGTTATCCCTTTGCCACAATGTTACCTCGCATGTGCCTCATTACATTGTACTTTAAGTTTGATCCCACTCTTCCTACGTGTGTATGTAAGGGAGGATATACCCCAGGATTTTGGGGGGGGGCAAATATTTTGTACCAACTGTTCTCATAATAGGCAGCATGATATAGTAGAGAGAGAGCTGGCCTCAAAGTCATGAAAACCTGGATTCACATTTCACCTCCCATACATATCTGCTGTCTTACTCTGGGCAACCCAAGCCCTCAGTGCTCTAGATCAGTGGTGTCAAACTCACCACCAAAACTCCTTAGTGCAGCCAGAACCAGATTTAAAATGTAGTTGGAAAGTTTTTAACAAAATAAATAAAAACACCACACAACATAAATAATGTTAATTTGCTGTTCACCAAACAAAACATTCTATCTCTTAGCTCTGGGCATTGTCTCTGGTTATTCCCCATGCCTGGAATGCTCTCCCTCCTCATCTCTGTCTACTAGTTTCCAAGGTTTCCTTTCCCTCAACTAAAATCCCATCTTCCACATGAAGTTTTTCCCAACCCCTCTTAATTCTAGTGCTTTCCCTCTCTTATTTACTTCCTATATATCCTGTAAACAACTTGTTTGTACATATTTGTTTGCTTTTTGCCTTCCCCATTAGATTGTGAGCTCCTTAAGGGCTGGGACTATCTTGTGACTCTTTTTTTGTATCCCCAGAACTAGGCAGAATGCCTGACACATAGTAGGTGCTTAATAAATGTTTATTGACTGAATGACATAGATAATATTAATCTGTGGTTTTCTAAGTCAATAAGTGGCCCACAGGGATTAGTTTCTATTTGAGTTTGACACCACTACTGTAGGCAACTTTTTAAGACTGTAAGTTTCAGAGAAGTCACCAACTTCATTGTTAGAGGGAGTTTTCAGTAATGAAATCACAAATCTATTCCTCATCTTATTCTTACTATAGCATTTTAGTAAATTCTAAAAGGTAGTGATTGATGGTTAATACGAAGCATACTGGTGGGAGCTCAGGAGCAAGAATATGGAAGTAAAGCCTTTGGGGTTATCTTTAGAACCTAAAGTAGCAGCAGCCCTCTGGAGATCCAATCTCAGTCTGAGTAATCTCAGAAGGGTACTATTTATTGATCTATAGAGCAATTGATCTATTGATGTAGCTTTTAGTCTGTTATACTATGTATGTTATACTATATACTATATATGCTATACTATATATTATATATGTTATACTATACGTGTTATACTATATATGTTATGCTATATACATACATATTAGTCTATAGGTTCTTCTCTGCTTTATTTTTCCCAGTGTGGAATCCCAGAGTTGTGATTTGGAGTATTATTTTCATATGGCTGTTGATGCCTTAGATTTTTTTAAAATTATCTATTCATATCTTTTGAATATCTGTCTATTAGGGAAAGGGTCTTAAATGTACACATATACACACAAAATGCATATATCCATACATGCATTTCCCTTCTAGGGAAAGGCCTGCCTTTTACTCTTCCATTTCAATCCTCCATTGCCTGTCTCTCCCATATATACATACATATATATATGAATACACACACACATACATATATGTGTGTGTATATACACAGAGAAAGGGTGTGTGTGTGTATAGGAAGTGGGCAATGGGGATTATCAGGACAGAATATTGCGCACCCAATCACAAATTATTTGTGTTGGTTTTCCATAACTGGTTTTCCAGGTGGGAGGATGAGTTTGGGGAACAGTAAATCCAGAAATGATTGCAATGTGAAAACAAAAGATATTAATAAAATTTTTAAAAGCTCATGAGAAAAATTCAGGAGCAAAACATATTCCACATGCAAAAGTAATCATAGTCTTGTGAAAAGGAGAAATACATATTAAAATAAAACTTTTATTCCACAACTCTAGGACATATCGTGGCAGAGCTTTTTTAAAAAAAGGTCACTATAGAGAAGCAACTGAAGACCTTTCGTCTGCAATTCATTTAGATCCTAATAATTGGGTAGCATTCTATTATAGAGCCTGCATATTGCGAAAATGTAACCCTCATAAATCTCTTCAGGATTTCAGTGTATCAGGTACTATTTCTTCACTTTTACTTGCATAGTAAATATGAAGCTTAGCTGAGCAAAATAGAATAATTTGTTGTTGTCTAGTTCTTTATTTTCCTTTAGGGCAACACTAACATAAAGTGGTCAGATTATACTTTTAATATTAACATCAGGTATTAGATCAGGTCAGTTCTGTTTTTTTTTAATTCCAATCATTCTAAAAGTTTGAGGCACTAACTCTAGACTATGTGGTATTATGAATTATTTTATAATTTGCTGTCTTAACTAAATTAGTAAAATGATAATTTACAAAATAATTTCCTGTACTGCACAGCTTGCTTACAACATAGTGTAAGATGTTTGTAGTTGCTGTCTAAATATAAAGAGAGTTTGGCTCAAGTGTATCAGGAATGGTTTATCTGATCTGGGATGTAGCTCACCCCTTTCCAGGGGGATTGTGATTTCTACTTTTGTTGGGAGAAGGAGGATTCATGTGGCTAGGTCCTCGCTTCTACCCTCACCTAACTCCAAGACAGTAATTAGGCTAGAATTATCTATCCTCCACACTTCAAATGTAGGAGTCTAGGGGTACAGTGTTAGGTCAGGGTCGATGCCATTTACTCTGATCACTCTCAAAGGGAGGGGGGTAATATTAACATATAAGGCAGTGTAGTTCCCTTCAACCATATACTAATTATAGGAAAAAACAATATCATGAATAGCCCTTTCACATTTTATCAAAGAAACCATTAAAAAAAACAAACATTGGGGAAATTATATAGATTAAAATAGATCAAAGAATACATAGGACTTCTGCTCTAACCAGAAGAGAGAATAATCTCACTGACTTTAAGGTTGTTAAGCACTGGAATTCAGGGGAAGTATTGGGGCTGGTTCCCCAAATATTTGCTGTCTTGGAAGTTCCCACTAGCCATTCAAAAGTTACCATCTAAAATGTTATTCCCTTTTCCCTCGTGCAGGTATACAATGTCCTGATTCAATTTGCCCTGAGCTAATCAGGAAGCTCATCCCCTTATACCTATGCAACTCAGCACAATCAGTATTGTTCTTCATGGCCCTGTCCAGCCTAAGTGGGCAGTCATATTACATTAGTGAACAGAAAACAATATCTTCTATCCCATGTAAACCAAAGAATTATCACAAAACAGGTCTTGCTTAATGATACTTGGTAGAATCATGCAAATTTACTTGAATGTAACCCTTGTCCTAAAGCCCAGTGACATGGGACTCTCTCCTTATTGGTGGAGATAAATGCCCTGCTCTGCCTAAGGGACAGGGAAAAGTTGGCAAGAATGGAGAGCTTCAGTTCTCAGTACCCTTTTGGGAGACTCATCATTCAATGCTCCTGGCTTCTAGCTTTAAGAGAGAAAATGGAAGAGGCCACTACCACTCTGCTGCTGAAGAAAAAGTTTCCGGGAAGACATGAGAGGAGCCAGCACTCTCCATCATGTCCCTATATCCACCTTGCTACTCTACAATCTTTTTTGAAATTTTCCCCTTGGGTGAGATCCAGGACCCTCTCTCTTGGTTGAGCTAAGTTAGATCACTCCCAAAGGGAGAGCCCCTTCATTCTACATTGTCTAATGTATATTCTCCTGTGTGTACCTTCTCTGATTTCTTTTTACTATGATTTTGGTAAATATTTTTTTTTATTCTCTATGTGTGTTTGTTGTGGAACTGGTATTAGGCAAAAAGGAGTCAAGCCATGGATATGGAACTTCCCCCTTTCTCCCAAAATGACAAAGTGATCAGAAGTTAGATGAAATCTGATCATATTCCCTAGACCAACAAGATTTAAGGGAGCAGATAGACAAGTAAATAATTTAAAATTAAATTTGAAACTATTTTGGAACCAAAGATCCATTTTTAGTAAATACTGAAGCTAGAAATTCAATTCAAATTTCACAATGGAAGACATTTTGACTAAAAAAATTTATCTACTTCAGATTTCATCTATCACTCACAAGAACTTACTGTTAAATTTCAGTGTGAGCATTTACATTTCAGAAATCAGCAAATGTCACAAATCAGGGCCTAATTTATTGTTTTCTTGAATGTCTAGATCTAAGAAAGTGAAGGAGAAAATGTTAATAATACAAGTTAAACTTAAAAGTGAGTTATGCATACTTTTTTAAACACATTTTAAAAAAATTTTTTTTAAACATTTACCAGCCCACCTCTGTATACTGCTTGACTCTGAGAGGTTGGAGCCAGACCCCATGTTACATACGGGTGTTTGTTAGAGTTTAGCTTTTATTTTTCTCCATTTGTGTCTCTAGTATCGGAGGGTTTTTTTTTTGTGAGTTAGGATCTTTTTTTGTTTGTCTTTCAATTCAGTACCTTGTCCCTATGAGGAGTTTTGCTTGGTCTACTTTAAGGCAACCCTATACCCAGAGGCTCTCTTCCTCTCACTCTCAACTGCCCCCCTCCTTATTTGTCAATCCTTTCCCAGGTTTTAGAGTTTTACTTAATTTGTTTATTTATCTTTCTTTCTTTTACTTATTTACCTAATTTTCTTTTTCTCTTTATTTTTCCCCATCAGTTAAATAGTTAATTAAAAATTTCCCCTCCTCTTTTCCTCTTCAACTTTTCTTTGTTAATAGTCCTAAACATTGATACTTTAATTCATGGTCTATATACTTATGTAGTTAATGTAAATTCTGAGGGTTTTTATCCCAATTTCCACTCCCACTGAAGATTTGGGTCCCTGGAACTAGCTATATTCCCTCAGGATACTAGGAATGCCCTGAGGGGTGAAGCATGATTCACTAAAGCCATCATTGTGAGCTCCCACTGGTGTATTTCCTTCTAAAATTATCAGTTGAGAATAATTTTTGTAAGCCCATCTTAAATAGCTTTTAGAAAGGTGGTACAGTAAGAACAGTGGGTACAAAATATTCCTCCCCTCTCTCTCAAAAAATAAAAAATCAGTGACACAAATCTACAAGTACCTAGAAATAGAAATAGAAAGTGGACTCAAGCTTAGGGAACATGTGTGGCAAAGGGGTAACTCACAGCACCTAGGTGCTGGAAATATTTGTCTCCTGCTCAAGAAATTCCCCTTACATGTGGTGGTGAGTCTGCAGTCATCTGTCCTTGAATCCTGATACAGACGCTGCTAGGGATGTAGCTAAGACAATGATGAGAAGATAGGAAGCTCAAAATCCTCCTGCTCCTTCAAAGCTTGCAAGGTGCTTTCACTGAAAGAGACAGGGAGGACAATTGGCTAAAGCTGAAACTGAAGCTTCCCATCCCGGCCTTTGCCACCACCCTTCCCACCAGTTCCTCTTCAGAAGTGTGCTGCAAAGCCACAGTTGCTTCAGTTACTAAAACTCAATATTTTATTAACTCATTTGATAATTTACAGATGGTCCCTGGGGCATGGTTAGGTTTCCTCATCCTATCCAAATATGATTCTTTTGTAACATAATTCCAGTGCCTTTTAGCACTTAGTCTAAGGCAGGGGTTATCCTGCCTTTTTTGTTTCTCATGGACCCTTTTGATAGTCTAATAAAATCTATGAACCCTTCTCAGAATAATGATTTAAATGCATAAATAGGATTGCAAAGGAAACTAATTATATTTAAATATAATTATCAAAATGTTTTTTGAAAACCAAAGTTCATGGACCTCAGGTTGGGAACCTGTGGTCTAAGGTCTATAAGTAACTAATTGACTGACAGATGATCTTGCCTAGATAAACTATTGAGGCTAAAGAGAAGTGAGATGGTTTCAACCTCACCGTTACACTTATTTACTCTTTCTTTACTTCTACATATTTCTCATGGAATTAAAGCTTTTATAGGACCTATATTGAGTTCCCCACCTTTATCCTTTTTTTTTTTTCTGTGGAGCATCACTCTTAGGTGTATGAATTAGGATATCACTTCACAGCAGAAAATTGTGTCCTAAATCATGTAGTCCATTTCTACCCTCTGCCTTTCCCATAATAATTTTCTTTCCCATTTGCCATGTGTTTGCCTCTCTAGCTTCCTGTCCTCCTGCCCTTCTGGATGTTAGTTGCCTCAAGGAGTTCTAATATCCTTTCTATACAGGCACAAAACTCTGAGGAAGTAGTCTCTTTGCACACTAACTCTCTTTAGATTAGATCTATTGTAAGGTCATCTTAATAATTTATTCCATTCTTGCTTAAGCTTAAACAAATAGATCTAAAGAGTATAAAAAGAGAAAAGTACTTGCAACAACTTTGCAGTGTTGCAAAGTTATGAGTTGCCTTTATGCAGGTATTTTGGGCACATATATTTTCTATGTAGAAAATATATGGCTGCCCTTGCCACATTGCTTCCCACATGCATATTCCAATTGATGATGTATGCATTTAGGGGATAACAGATTTGAGTTTAATGTAGAGAATATTTTGTTGTGGTTTTTATTACTATTTTGTTTTATAAAATGCCTTTGCTTTGACTCAGTATGTCCTCTGAGTGACCAGTCAAAGTAAGTATACCGGGGAGAGCTCATGGGAAATGATTTGGAGAATTATCTGATCCACAAAGAACCTGGAATAATTTTCTCATGGCCCATGGATGAGGAGGTTCTGGATACCACCCTAGCTGGGATATGTTCAACAAATCAGCAACAATAGTTAATTTCCTCGTCTGCAAAATGAGGGGATTTAACTCAATGCCAGCATACTTTCTAACTACAAAATCCACTGAATCTGGAAATACTTTATTAATAGCTATATATTTGTTTTAGAGGGCCAGCCTTAGAGTCAAGATGGCTTGGGTTCAAATCCTACCCCTGACATATTTCCAGCACTATGAGTCTATTGGCAAACTGTTGATTTGCATCAGTGGAAAGAGTTCCCACACTGGGAATTCTTACACTTGTGAAATCACAGGTTCAGACCTTTATCCTCCACCTCCCCCCATATCAGGTAAGAAAAGTCATTTCTAGGCGTTACCTTTGTTTGTTTTCTTAGAGCTATTTTTGGTAATATAAATTGGGTATGATATCTTTATTCATACCAACTAAAAATTAAAAAGAACATGAAAAAGTTTAATGCAAAATGTCATTCATATGTGATTATTTAGGATTTAAATAAGCAAAATACATGTTTTTCTTTTTTAGTGCTCATCAATGATACTATTGAGAATCTTCTTGCTTTTCTACACCGTGGCATCTTGTATACAGAAATGAGTTGCTGGGGGTTGGCAGTTGCGGACTTTGAAAGTGTACTTGAGCTAGACAGGTCCTTTTCCCCTTTTTACGTAAGATTAATTGAGAATGGAATAAATAAGGATGACTATTTTGTTTTATATTTACCAGTGATAATTAAACACAAGGAAAAGAAAAGAGGCAGTTATAGAATTATTGGATTATGATAATACCTAAAAAATAAGATATCCTTAACTTTCACATTTTTAATTTAATATATTTTTAAGGTTCCATGGGTTATAAAGGTTATTAAGAAATATTTTGAGGTTATAATCTTTTTGAGGTTAACTACAGTTAAAAACAGTTACCACATTTTATTACAAATTATCCCTTGGTGTTAGTGTCAAAAATAAAAATGCTAAATTGGATGAACCCTTCAATCTCCAATTCTTAGCCACCACAAAAAGAACTGCTATAAATATTTTTGTACAAATAGATCATTTTCCCTTTTTCTTGATGCCTTTGGGATATAGATCTAGCAGTGGTATTGCTGGATCAAAGGGTATGCACAGTTTTATACCCTTTGAGCATAGTTCCAAATTGCTTTCCAGAATGGTTGAATAGATTCACAACTCCACCAGCAGTGTCCCAGTTTTCCCAAATCCCCTCCAACATCTAACATTTTCTTTTTTTGTCATATTAGCCACTCTGATAGGTGTGAGGTGGTACGTCAAATTTGTTTTAATTTGCATGTCTCTGATCAATAGTGATTTAGAGCATTTTTTCATATGAATATAGATAGCTTTGATTTCTTTGTCTGAAAACTGCCTGTCCATGTCCTTTGACCATTTAGCAATTGGGGAGTGACTTGTATTGTTATTCAGTTGACTCAGTTCTCTATATATTTTAGAAATGAGGCCTTTATCAGAGATACTTGCTATAAAGATTGTTTCCCTGCTTTCTGCTTTCCTTAAAATTTTGCTTGTATTAGTTTTATTTGTGCAAAAACTTTATAAGTTTATATAATCAAAACTATTTTACATTTTGTAATACTCTCTATATCTTCTTTGGTGCTAAATTCTTCCCTTATCCATAAATCTTGATACCTTTCTTGCTTTCTTTCTCTATTTGTGATTTCCCACAGGTTTTCTCATATGATGGTAATTAGGGGAGGGAAGGCCTCTGAGCTCCCACAAGGGCACATGATCAGCTCTTGTGGCTGTTTCTTAACCTTCACTTTTAGAGTAGCAAATATTAGCATAGAGTCTTTGTTCCATTAGAAAGGGCCCTTTCATTCCTTTACCTGGAATGGAATTTTGTCATACCAATGTACGTAACTGTTTCAAAATTATAAGCATTTAAAACAATATTTTGTTACATTAATATGAAAAACATTTTATTGAATATAGGATTATGTAGGTAAGTTGGTGTGATAGATACTATTAATAACCAAATTAATGAATTTTGTATTCCTTTTTTTTAGAAACATATCTTTTGCTTTTATAAATATTGGCATCATATACCTGTTGCATATGGACAAGTACTTTGAAGCAATTCAGCAGTTTACAGAGGCTATTCGAGTTGATCCTTTGTATATTCAAAGCTATCTTTGTCGAGCACAAACTTATCATAAGGTATTAAGAGTTTTGTACTTAAAACAATTAAAAATTTGTTGAACCAATATGAACTTCTTTTTAACACATCAAACCTTTATTCTTCAGTGTTTTAAGAATATGATATATTGATCCATGTTCTCTTTAACTAATCATTACAAAAGTTAAAACCTTTTTAGACTATAATTTCTCCTCACCCTGTTACATCTCAATCCCTTTTCCTCTCCCTGAATCCCTTGCTCCTCGAACGCTCACCTCTTTGAAATATGACTTCTTACCCCATTGATTGATAATTCTTTCCCAAGGTCATCAGTGACCTTTTAGTTGCTAAATCCAGTGACTTTTTCTCTTCCTCATCTTTCTAGACCTTTCTGCAACATATGACACTACCAACTATTCCTTCCTTCTTAATACTGTCTACTCTGTTTTTGGGACATTGTTTTCTCTAGGCTTTCCTACTAGCTATCTAATCATTCCCCCTTGGACTCTCTTACAAGTTCATCCATTAGTTCGCCCAATACACATTTATTAAGTGCCTTCTCTTTGCAAAGCATTGTTCTAAGCACTGGGAAAGACATAGAGTTTATATATGTATTATACCATCCTTGCCTAATGAAACTTACCATCTGGTAGAGGAATAAGACATAAACACAGATAACTATAGGTAAATGTATCAGAGTCGTTGATCAAAGTGTTATGTGATATCTAGGAGAGAATTAGGGAAGGCTACATACATACATAGGCATACATACATATATTTGAGTTGGGCTTTAAATGACCAATAGGAATTCAACAACTAAAGAAGTCATAGAAGGCATAGAAAACAGCATAAGCATAGGCATGGAGGCAAAAGACTACAGAGTATGTTAAGGGTCCATAGAGCAGTCCAGTTTAGCTAGAGCACAGAGTAATGGGAGGGAGTAATATGCTATAAAGATGGAAAGGTAGGATGTTGCCAGTATGGTGGAGAGTGAGGGCAGCGTGTACTAGAGGAGGTGCTGCCAGAGCTATATCCACTCATACCTGAATCATTCTGCATTTTTCTACTGAAAAAGAACATCCAAGAACATCTGGCTACTTCTCCCCCAGGGATAACTGAGGGTTTGGGGGATAGTTTTATAGTATTATAGCTCATGAGCCCCCATCAGTGTGGCTCCTCCACTGTGATTATATCAGTTGACATCAATTAGTAAACCAGGTTTTTAAAAAAATTTATTTATTTTGTTTTTAATTTATGAAATAAAACAAGCATTTCCATAACATAGTAAAGCAAAAAAATGATGATTGCACATGAAACTGTAAATCTAGTATGTACAACTTGCTATTCCTTTTAAATATATAATAGTTATCAGGTAACTTTCCTTTTTTTCCTTCCCTCTCCCCCTCCTCCATCCTGGAGATGTCTACCATTAGACACAAATATGTATAAGTGTGCAAAATCATTCTATACATACTTGTATTTATCAGTTCTTTTACTAGATGCAGATAGCTTCTTCTTTCATAGGTCCCTTGTAGTCAATATGGATATTTATAAATAGTTAAAATTACTTATTCACTCAAAGTTGTTCTTAAAACAATATTGCTGTTACTGTATACAACTTTCTCTTGGTTTTGCTCATTTTGCTCTTATTATTTCATACAAGTCTATCTATGTTTTTCTAAAATCAATGAGCTCATCATTTCTTACAGCACAATAGTATTCCATCACAATCATATACCACAATTTGTTCAGCCATTCTCCAATTGACAGGCATCCCTGAAATTTCTGGTCCTTTGCCACCACAAAAAGAGTTGCTATAAATATTTTAGAAAATATAGGTTCTTTTCCTTTTTCACTGATCATCTGCCTGATTTCTCTCCTATATTGTCAGACTTCAACACAGATTTAATTATCTTTTAGATAATTAGATAATATATTTTAGATAATTTAAATTAGATAATTGTGCTAAGGGGCATCATGGATAGAGCTCTGGCCTTAGAGTCAGGAGGACCTGAGTTCAAATCCAATCTCAGACACTTGACATGTGTGACCCTGGGCAAGTCACTTAACCCTATTGCCTCACCAAAAAGCAAAAGAAAAAAGAAAAAAAAAGAAATAGAAATTTACTGAATTGGTATAGTATAAATAGTTGGTACAAACATTTCCCTAAACCAGGGAAACATTCACTCACAAGTGCATATAGTGTCCAGGGGAAAGTGGGCTCAAGTTTAGAAAGTACATGTGGAGAAGGAATAACTCAGAGTTCTTGGTTTCTGGAAGTCCTTTTCCTCCCTTTGTAAGGTACTCATGAAGTTCCCTTTGAACAGGGAGCAACTTTCTGTTGAGTTTCTAGTGGAGTTAAGGAGTTTTCTTTTCTCAGGGCATCTAATTTGTTTTTGCTTCCTAATACAGATGCTGCTGTCAGCCACTGTTGTTCTGGGAATACTGGTAGGATGCCCGTGAGAAGTCTAAAATTTTCTAACTTTTGGAAATTGACAAGATCATCCTCTGGTCAAAGGGGAGGAAAAAATAGGTCTTCCCAACTTCCAACCCCATATAATTCCCTTTTGAGGGCCTTGGCTTAAACGGTTTCCAGTACTGGGTTAACTTCCGATTAGAATACCAGATTCCAGACTGGCTTGCTATTTTTTCCAAGTCCCACAAGGTACAAATGAATGTCATTAACTAATCCCAATGCACTTCTTTTGCAGTGCCATTTTATTTCAACCAATGGCTTTCATTCCTTCCAAATTGTCTTTAAAATGTCTTTGACTGACTGATTAAATAAACATGTTTTCAAGATTTGATCAGTCCTCCCCACCTCTACTTACAGAAAACAGCGAATTTTACTGAAATTTACTAACCAAAGGAGTGTGATATATTATTTGGCCATTGAGTGGCACTCCAACCACACACTCAACCTACTTCTTTCATCTGACTGATCTCTCTCCTATATTGTCAGGCTGCAGCTGGCCCCAGGTTCTTTATGATCTAGAATCTGCTATAAAAATTACCCGAAATAGGAAACATTCATCTCTTTTCTTCATTTGCTAGCTGACATTCATAGATTTAAATAGTTTGTTGTTTCCTTTCTTAATGGCTACATGCTTTATTTAAACAATCATCCATCTTAAAGGGAAAAAAGCTTTCAAAGAGCAAGCTGCAGGATTCTTTGCTGCTTGGATTGACTCCCTTTTTGTTTCTCCCTCCTACACCTCCTTTCAGCAAGTAGAAGAGGGAAGGATTTGGCAAGCTTTAGAACTCATCGAGGTTTCCTCAGCAATGGCCTAGTGAGGAGAGAGGAAGAGCCGGAGGGAGGAGGGAAGGGACAGAGCAAAGAAGTGCCCTTCAAATGCAACAACACTCAAAAGGAAAGCTCAAAGCAGACCTTGGACAGGTGCCACTTTTTTCAACCCAGTACCTATGAAACTCACAGCAAGAAGTGTCCTTAAGGATAAAAGAAACTAAAACTCAAGGACTCTGGGAAGTGTATGCCCATACACATTTACCAGCTCCCCCTACATCTCTTTGATCTCAGTTACTGCCTGCAGGTGTTAGAAAAGCCCCATTATGCCAGATTGTGCCAGGCCTTAAATGCCAGACAGAGACATTGAAGGTTTATGAAAAGAGGAGGCTTTTGACCATATCTATGGGTAAAGAAGATTATTATAGGATTGGTATAAAGAATGGATTACAAAATATCAGGAGTGGAAGTGGGAAGATCTGTTAGGAATCTCTTACAATAGTTGAGGTCTGTGGTAATAAGGATGGTAGGGTGAACATACAAGACAGATATTAGATTTTGCAGAGGTAGAATTGATAGGAATTGGCAGCTGTATACAAGAGGCTGAAAATGACTGACAACAACTGAACAACAACAACAACAACAAAAAGAGAGGTCGTTAGGTGGCACAGTAGAAAGAGTGCCTAGCCTAAAGTCAGGAAGACTCCTTTTCCTAAGTTCAAATCTGACCTCAGTCACTCACTAGCTGTGTGACCCTGGGCAAGTCACTTAACTATTTGCCTCAGTTTCCTTATCTTTAAAATGAGAAGGAAATAGTAAACCACTTCAGTATCTTTGCTAAAAAAAATCCCAAAAATGTGGTCATGAAGACACAATTGAAACGACTGAACACCGACAATATGAAAGGTGAAGGACAGAGAAGTCTCTCAGTTTGTAAACAGGGGAGACTGGATAAATAACAGTGCCAGGTGTATAAAAAATCATGAGGAGAAAATTTAGGGGAGGAAGAGAAGGAGCTTAGTTATATATATGTTGCGTTTGGGGTGCTCCTGGAATGGATGTTCCATTGGAGAAGGGGAAGCCAAAAGAGTCATTGTCAATGACAAAAGACAAGAAAAAAATACCAAAGGAAAATCAGATATTTGATTTGTCAGAGAGTTGAGATTAGGTCCTACATGGTACCTATGACCTTTCCATTTGAAGACACCACCTTCCTTCGTGGAATCCTGATACATAACCTCAGAATAATACTTTTTTCTTCACTTTCCCTCAAAACTCACTATACCCAATCAGGTTTCAAGTCTTCCTGATTTTTATCTCCAAAACATCAAATGATACTTCCAAGGATCATTTCTTTGCTTCTCCTCATTCAATTTTTGTTACTTCTTCACTGAATCATTACTATAGCATCCTAAGTGGTCTCCCTGCTTCTAGTTTCTCTTCTCTCCCCCTCATCCCTCAAGCAATAATCTTCCTAGAGCATAAATCTGACCATGTCACTTCCCACCAAAGAATTTTCAGTGGCTTCCTATATTCTATGATAATACGCAAACTTCTCAAATTGGTAAAACAGACTGTTTTAATCTATCTTTCTAGACATTTTGTATCTTTTTAGATGTATTTGATCTCCCTCTTCCTCTTCTCTCTTCCATCCAAACTGGCCTACTTATTTTTCCCAGAATTCGGCATTCCATTTCCTACCTCCAGCTCCACAGAGGCTATTCTCTGTACCTGGAATGCAACCTTCCTTAGAATCCTTAGCTTCTTTTCAAGGCACTACTTGGGTACTATCTCCTA